AACCAAACCAGCATAAATATTTGAAGGCTGTTTCTTACCCTTCTCTCATTTATCTAAGAGTATATTCCTTTCTGAGAAGCAGTGAGGTATAATGGAGACCTGGCTTCAAAGCCAAGAAAACTGGGTCCAAGTTCCGTCCCTGACACATAATGGCTATGTGACCTTGGGCAAGCCACCCAACTCTACTCAGTGCTCTAGGAAAATGTGACTTGCAGAGAAGGGAACCAATTGCATTGGCAGAGGGAGATTTCTCACATAGGAATTCTCCACACTAATGAAATCACAGGCCAGTCCCTAGCCTACTGTCTCTTTTATTCTATGCTTGTAAGCTTATACCAGGGATTCAATTAAATGTTTACCTACCAGGCACTCACTACTAGGTGCTGGGAACATAAAGACAAAAATGAAAATGGTTTCTGCTCACGAGGAGCCTTATTCTACTGAGGGGAACAACACATGCAGAAATAAGCCAATACAAAACATGTATAATTTGGGGAGTGGGAGAATTGATGACCGGTGAAATAACAGAAGGCCTCTTAGGAGTGCTAAAACAACACTTAAGTAGAGTCTTAAATATAACTAGAGAGGTGGGGGGGGGAGCCTAAGTGAAGAAATAGAAACATCAAGTGGAATGTTGCATACAAGGATCAACAAGTAGCCTGGTTTGGCAGAATGTTCAATATGTGATCAATCAATAGTAATGGGAAACGTCTAGGAAGACAGGTTGGAAAGATACGGGGTTTATATCTTATCCTAGAGGTCACTGGGAGCTACTGAAGCTTTTTAAACTGGGGTGGGATCAGACTTGTGCTTTAGAAATATTTGACAATTATACAGATGATGGACTGGAGATAGGAGAGCCTGGAGGCAGGAAGTCCACTAAGAAAGCTACTGCAGTACTCCAGGCAAAAGGTGATAAAGGTCTAAACTAGGGTATTGGCTGGTAGGAAAACTGGTATGGTTCTAATTCAATGGACAGCGCCTTTTCTGACCTAACTTCTGCAAAGTGTTTTAGTATGTATAGTTGCAGTTTAGTAGTATAGTTACGTACATTTGTGGATGCAAGCTAACGAACTAAATTCCCTTTCACTTTTCTCTTGACTTGGTCACCATTTCTAGGTACAAAAATGATGAAAGCAAACTACCTTTCCCTCCCCAGCAATTAAGAGAAATGATTAGAAGGTACTATATATACACACACCATACATGCTTCAAAAAACTTTTATTGAAAAGAGCTTATAAGGGATACAAAGATGAATGATATTTGCATGTGATATACATATTACACAAGCTTTTAGAAGTGCTTGCACTTGGGGATAAACCTTTTCTATCAGGAACTCTTTTGGCAATCCGCTGAAATCTCTCAAAACGTTTTTAAATGTATAAAAGAAAATCCACAGGATTACAAAGGAAATCAATGACGTTGAAATAGTAATTAAAAAATATATATATTTTAAATACAAGTTCACAGACCCTGGAAATCCATCCCCAAGGGGTTCACTAGCACCATACATTGAGAACACTTGCCCACCTTCATTCGGAAAGGAAAATGGATTCTATCCTAAATAATAACCATTTTATAAGACATCCCCAAAAAAGACAATTTCACATGAGACACAGCGTTAAGTGTTTGTAGCCGACCGCAAGCTCTGACTGAAATAGGTTCTTTCTTCCACCTACCCTTCTGGCGAGAGGGAGGGAGAATGTGTGAGAGGAAGCAAAGGAAACTGTAAAGCAGCACTATTCATCTGCATAAGCCAGGGGAAAAGGAACTGAAATATTCAGGTTTTTAATTTTAAAAAATAGCTACTGCAAAGCTGCCTAGAGATGAATAAATGATTAAGAAATGGACTTTAGTATGGAGGTCTCACAAATACAAACAAGATTCTTCAAACTACAGGGAATAAGAGCATTTAAATACAGACAGGAACCTGAGAAGTGTTACACATAACCTGGATTGGTTAAATGCACTCTACCTATTTGCACTTGGTTAATTATCTCTTCTCCAGACGTTATTCAAAGAATTGAGCCAGTGGTGCCCTCTGGTGGAAGAACTGTTACATCAATTTGTTAGAGGCAACACACATTCGATTCCAAGAGTTTGATTTGCCACAGCCAAGTGTCTTCTACGTGGGTGGCAGAGGTGGCTTGGGGGCGTTCTAGTTTATTCAATCCAATCAGCCTGGTGAGCAGCCCAAAAAACTCTGCAGCTTCTCCCACTCTGAAAGGCCATCAATGACTTTCCCTTGCCTTCCATGCCATTTCTAGGGTTAGTGAACTCTATTTGGAGAACACTAATAAACAGCATGAGGTCACTAAAGGGCCTGTTTGCAAGGAGACTGTCTCCACAGTTAATCAGGTCCATCCTCAAAAGGGAAAAAAAATCAAGTTAAATGAACATCAGAGAAACTGTGAAGGTGAAAAGTTACAATGGAAAACAAAATTACAAAGGAGATGCTTAATAAATGTTTGTTGAAAGAATTATTAGTTGGGAAAGGCCCACTAGTATACCAGCATATTAGTATACTAAAAACACTTGCATGTGCAAATGACCCTTTGGAAAAATGAATTTGATGAGCAAAGTTTAAGCTCAATTACCATAACCTTCAAAAGCAGGACAGTGCAGTAGTGGATAGGGCAATGATCAAGGAAGTTGGGATTTTGTGGGATCGAATCCAGCCTCATGCTTAGTGGAGTGATCCTGGGCCAACTCATGAGACATCACTGTGCCTCAGTTTTCTAATCTGCAAAATGGAGTCATGGGAGGGGCTGCACTCAATGGCCTCTAAGGTCCCTTCCAGCTCTAAACGTATGATCCAGAGCAAGGACTTCTGTTTTGGTGGTATTTCGCCTGCCCTCCTGAATTGTAGGGCTGTGGGTAGTGAGAAGAAATAAGAGAAAAAAGTAGAGAACAGCCCCACTTTGAATTCCTGGAGTTTGCTTTCCATAACACCAGGAAACGGAAAGGAGACAGGACATTACTCCAACTACCTAATATTTTGTGGATGTTTCCATTGAAATTGATGACTCCTGTGCTGCAACAGAGCTCTTCTCTTCTCTCCCCAAAGTCATGCAAAGACTGTCATTACCTGAAACCGAAATTTCACCCAAACAAGTAAAATGACTTATCTTTCCAATAATGACATCACAAGGACAAAATTAAAGATCTATTTAATATGAACAGGCAAAATACAGCTTCAGTATTTACTCAAAAGCATTTAAATATTGCAAATGCCAAATATACATAGGTGCTGCAGAACTAGACTTAAGAAAACTAGGTTAAGAACAAAAATACTTTTTCTTTCATACCTCAATACGTCCCTATGTAAAAAAGGGCTAGCGATTCTTTCTCCCATACCTAAAATAAAAATATTCGCTTAGACACTTGTGCAAAAATCTAACATAAGCTACATGCTTATTGGCACACTGGCAGTGACTTCTGTACCAACTACACAAGAGAACTTCTGTGTTCCCAAATAATGGTGTGGCAGTTACATGCTGCAAATTACTACCTGAAGCTACATAATCTTCCATAAAACCATTATCCTGACAGAAACAACTTGGTCTTCTGCAGCAGTTACAGCAAGAGCTAGTGTGAGTTGCCTGGATAGGAGTTTAACACTGCCACAATCAGTTCATTGCCTGATAAGGTGCCCTGTGAGTTTACGTGCTCCCTTTTCTGGATATGAGTACCTGAAACACCTGCCCAACAGCTGCCTGCCAACAGGGTAATACCACCTTGCACTCCCCCTTACTTCTATTTTACGTAGCAGACAGAATGTGTACACACATCACTGAAAAGCTTCAGCGCTCTTAAAGCACTTGCTCCTCAAAACAACCCCTGAGGTAGGCAGGGCAGTATTAAGCCTTAGTTACAGATGAGGAAATTAAGGTTCAGAGGCTGTGACCTGCCCAAGGTCAAACAACAACTTAGTGGTGGAAGGCAGGACAGAACCTTCTGACCCATCTCTTTCAACAGAGAGCAGATAGTCTCTAGCGGGGCAGAATGAAAGAGATATTGTCACATGTGAACAACATGGCAAGAGGCTTTATTTGACCTTGTTGCCAAGGGAGGGCTTACTGCCCCCCTCCAAAAAAAATTATGTATATATATATATATATATAAAAGCATCAATATTTTAAAATACATAGAAGAAAACAAAGAGAAGTTCAGAAGAGGACACAATTTTGCTACATTGGCATGAAATGCAATCCATAAAACTGCACCTAACACAAGTTTATGAGGTTCACACATACAGCCTCCTTTTACTACTTTATAGCGAAATGTTTGTGTTAAGCTCATCATAGAAAAGCACTTAAGGGGCAGCTAGGTGGCAAAGTGGATAGAGCACTGGCCTTGGAGTCAGGAGCACCCAAGTGCAAATCCAGCCTCAGATACTTGACACTTACTAGCAGTGTAACCCTGTGCAAGTCACTTAACCCCAATTGCCTCACCAAAAAGGGGGGAAAAAAAGAAAAAAGAAAGCATTTAAGTAATAGGGACTTTTCAAAGACCCTTTTCGCTCCCAGAGGGTATTCTTCATACTCACTATTCCCCCTAGCTTCTTTGGCACAACTGAGTATTCCATATACTAAGGTAAAGCCTGTCATTTCCAAGGGTCCTCCATCCCTATTCAGACCCACCCTGGTTGGCTGCGGGGCTCTCTTCATTTGTACCTGACATGTGTCCTCTGCCACATGAACCCACCAATCCCACAGATTAAAAGAAGGCACACTTACTGTTTAGGCACTTCATCTGAAGGAATTTTTCAAATCCCCCCAAATTTTCAGTGGCTTATTAAAGGAATTAAGCAAAGGGGAAACTTTGGCTCTCACTGAAAAGCTAAGCTAAGTGGCCAACAAGGGGAAAAGAAAGAGTCTTGTCCTAGCAGGATAAGCCTTGTTTCAGAGTGCTCTGTTACATGGGCTGGCTGCCCAGGCAGCCCCTGGTTACTCAATTTGAGTTTGCTGTCCCATTTCTCCTGTTCCCACAGTAAACCCATATTTACCCCCTGGGTTTCAGCAGTTATATGCCAAAACTAATTGCTGAGTACTAAACAGACATAAACTAGTTGTGGGTGTGGAAAGGGGACTTGTACATACTGATTTCAAGAACAGAAACACTGCCCTACAATTCAATGGCCTCAGATTCAGCAAAAATCAAACATGAAAAAACACATCTTAAAGGACTGAGCAGGGGGTTCTGATCTAACACCAGTAGTGCTCATTTCCCAGAAAGGGTTGACACAAAGAATTAAATAATTGCTCTTAGTGGAAATGTTGTACTTGCACAGCATAGCCAATCCAGAACAGGGTAATGATGGCACTAGGCACCCAAGAAGAAATAAATTACAGGGCAAAGCATAAGGAGCAACAGAGACAGTACTCTGGACTTCAGATAACTCTGAAATATACATCAACATGCCTTTCAAAAATTATTTCACTGTATGACATTTTACAATCCCTCAAAAAGCCTCTTACTAGAGGGTAGAGGAAACCTGCCTCTACATTTAGATACACAAGCAAGACCTTAATGTGCCCAGGGGTGGAGGAGCATTCTCAATAATGCTCTTCTCAGATCATCAGAATATCTTATTAACAGGATGCTTTCCGGATGCTCTACCACAAGAAGTAGCACAGCAATGACTACAACAAACAGGAAGCATATGAAAGGAAGTATATCAGTGCTCATGAAAAATGAGGCCACAATAACATGGCTACCACCTCCTCCTCCTGGGTTCTCCAGATGAACCATCTTGCTTTCCTTCATTCTTTGACCTGCATCATGTATATCTCCAATCAAAGGTACTTCTAGACAATTCTAGTAGCATGTGCTAGTAGCATCTCCAGTGGCAGTGAAATGAGAAGACATTTGTGTTCCCCTTTTGGCAATATGGATATTTCTAGGCAGAAGGTGCAAAGAGTCCACATCACTAGTTCCTGTTCTACAATTCTTCAGGTACAGTTCAAAATTATTCTTCTTCTTTTGATATATTTAGTAGTCTGGGTTTTCATTTATATAAACAGCTCTCAATATTGCAAGACGGTCTGCACAATTTGAAAAGGTAACAAACTAAATGGAAAAAAAATTCACAGTATCCAAAATTTCTGCTTCCATAGGGTGCACAGAGCTCATCAGAAGAAAAAAAGTCAGTGAATAACAACCAACAATGCTCTTGAAGTTCATGAACTAAGGTGCACTAGCTTCATACAAATGACTCTCCACTGAGAAGCCAACACTGCAGTACTCAGGAGTGACCAAAATAATGATGCAAGGCAAAGTGGTAAAAATTACAATGACAAACTCAGAGTATTTCCTTCAAAAAACCAACCAACCAAACAATATCATAACTCAAACAAGTCTTGTACAAATGTAAAGGAATGGGCATATATACACACACACACACACACACACACACCCCCAAAACAAAATCTTATTAATATACTGTTGTGAGAGTGGCCATGGGGTCAAAAGCTAATTTCATATTATAGAAATATGGGTTTGAGTTGGGGGTGAATAACTTCTAGTGTTCTTTTAACTTATGGAAACCTACAAAAATCTTTAAATACTTTACTAAGAAATGGCAATACCAATAGATACACTTCACCTTCTGAAACTTATTAAAGTATTAAAGACAGAATAAGACTTAAATATTTGTATATAGTTTTTAAGTATACTAAGTAGAGTATGAAGTTAATATAGTCAAGAACTCTCTTCAGACAAAACTTGGAAATTCACTAACTTTTCCAAGTCCTTTTAACCCATTTGTTTTTACAAAACACATACACGTGTGTATACAGATACAGCCACTTAAAGGATGACTCAAAGTGTTCACAAAAGAAATGAGTGAAAGGTCAATAAAAGGGACCTAGGCAAATAGGTTACTGACAAGTAGTTTCAAAATCTTTTCAAAAGCAAGGGTAGAGGAGGCAGAGCCAAGATGGCAGAGTAAAACCAAGAGCAGAGTCAAGTACAGTCTGTAAAACTATAGGCTTGGAATAGACAGACTACTGTTTATTCCAGCTTTCGATCTATAAGCCTCTGAGCACATGCCTCAAAGCAAGAGAAGATGGAGAGGGGAGGAGGTCTGCATAAATATGGGCTTTCCTTCCCTCTCCAGATTCCATGAAGAGCCTGGGTTACTGCTTCAGTTCCACCACCCCAGGCCTACGGTATGACTGGTATTCATAGCAGCGAGGGGAAGAAAACCATCAAAAACAGATCCTGGTCACAGGATCCCTCAAAAGAGGGATCCAAGGGCGATCAGGCTGGGCTCTAATGCATATCTGAGGATCTTCTGAGGACAATACTTGGCACAGATGGGACAAACGAAGAACAAAGGCTAAAGTAAAATAAAGACGAGCTGAATATTTGGGAGGGGAAAGTTGTACAGAACTGAAATACTAAATTAAATTTGTAGACTTTCATATAGCCATACATCTGCTCTCACTGCTGTCTGAATTTACATGCCTTCCTGAATACATAAGCTTTCTCATTACTATAGGAATATCTATTTTTCCTTCCTAGATTCTTTTAATTTGCACTCTATAAAAAACTATAACTTTACAAAACTACTCCTTTGAGGGCAGGGATTTGAGTCCTTATGTAGCCCCAGGACCTAGTACAGTGCCTTGTCTATAAGAGGTGGTTAATACATGTCTGCAGAACTTAATTTGTTATGTAACTGGACTTATTAGCACAAGTAGTATAGATCCCTAATCATATACCATCATAACCACTCTCCAATAACTCACTCTTGTGATGCAATAAAATGGAAGAGAAAAGAAACTAGAGACTGCTTAAAACACTGAGGCAGATTTTCATGGAGAAAACAGAGAATAAATAGGTTAAAGAGTCCTCTAGCTTCAGAGCAGTCACAAAATGTTCCAATAAAATAATGTTTAGGTAATTAGAACAAAATTTACTACTTGCTGTTAGAGTTTTAGTTTCAGTATGTGCAGCATATTTCAATACACATAGGTGTTTCAATCAAATGCACAATTTAAATATTTCTCTTTCTTGCAGCCCAGGATCCCGGTCCTCACTCTGTCACTAACTGTGTTGACTTTGGGTGACAATATCTCTGAACTTACTTTTTCATTTGAAAAATGAGAACTGGCGGCTGTCAGATCTCAGAGATCATTATTCTATGGCTCTATGACAATGCCCTTTCAAGGAATGCAGTTTTGTGCACTACATCATCCAAGGGTTCTTTAATGTGGGGTAGCTCAGCAAACAGAACAACTCAGTCTAGGGAACAATGAAAAGAAAAGCATCAGTGCCTACTCTGCTTCGCTCAAGGTCCTTGTCCTTATAAATGAGCAATGTGAATGCAAAGTGAAGCGATCCACTGGACTGCAAGAAGCTAAGGGAATGACCTTAATGTTTGTGTTTTCAAATTACCAGCTTCGATCCTTTAATAATCATCTTGGGTGTCAGAGACTGTTATCAACAATAAGTTGTTTCCAGGAACTTGAAGGCCCTAACAACTTAGAAAAACAGGCTCATATTTGTGTCATGATGATTATTTAGGGCCCTTAAAAGGGACACGCTAAGACCATACTCTTAAGTGCAGAGGCTCACCACTGACATCTGGAGCCCTCACGTGACTGGTTATCAGGTCTGTACAACTCAGTGAGCTGCCGAAAAAGCTATGCCACAAAGATTTTGATGACCATCTGAATTGATTTCTTACAAATGGGACATGGAGCCCTGGTCTTCTTCAACCTTTTGGCACAGCGAAAACAAACCACTAAGTGAGCGGTCCTCCCATGAATGATGTTCCCATCCCGTGGCCTCTTCTCACACAATTTGCATGGCTTAAAGAGATTTTTGCAATTTTCCATAGCTGCTGTATCTGTATTCTGTTCATACAGGTGGTCTGATTGCTCTCCTATGCTTGAAATGGTCTCCTGGCTTTCAGCACTCTGGGCCAAATCCAGGAATCCTACTGAGCTACAAGAGTTCAGCAGTTTGGACTTTTCCTCCATCTCACAGGGTTCCTTGGGTCGGACGAGCGGGTCAGAGATGGTTCTTCGGCAGTCAGGGACATCAATTCCTCGGTCATCTCTCTTCGCTGGCATGGCAGGGATACTGGACACAGAGAGGGAATGGGACAGCTTCGGGCAATCTGAATACCAGTCTTTTCTCAACGCCCAGCACCGGAAACAGTACCTCTTGCTTGGAGAGTTAAACTTCTTGCACTTAGTGCACTGCCATTCACCCTACAGAATCAAAAGACCTCAAGTCAATCGCTCGAGTGTAACTCCACATGAAGGAACAGACAAGCAGAAAGCACAAAATGTCCTGCAGCTGGTCAGGAGGCGCTCCACACTCCCTGACAAGCAGCTGTGACTTCACTAGGCAGAAAAATCCATCACCTCATAGTGGCTCACCTTTGGGTAATGAGCCTCTCGGAGTAAGGAGGCCTGTCCTAAGGAGACCAATATCTATTCCATCTCCAGACCCAAACAATACATACGTTGTAGCTTGGCAGAATCCACCTGCACAGCCCAGGATCAAGAACCCAAGATCACTTTTCTGCCAGGCTGATACAGCAAAGCAGGACTTGAATGAGGGACATTACCTGAGAATACTGTCAATATTCAAACTCAGGTGTAATGAGGCTTTTCTGAAGAAAGCTACCTTAATCATTTAGGCTTAATCAGGCTGTAGATAATAAGTCCTATGCTACTCACTCCTTCTCTCCTTTTCGTATTGCGTCTTGTCCAATCGACATTACCTGAAGCAAAGGTACAAGAGGACTCAAACTTCTTACCTACCTAACATCACTCAAAAGGTCAGTGGGAAAATAAGCTGATACTAATACCCGGGTTTGGCAAATACTTGCTAGTAGTGCAATGGATAGAGTTCCCGGCCTGGAGTCAGGAAGACTTGAGTTCTAATCCAGCTTTACACACGTACTAGCTGTGTGCCCCTGGGAAAGCCATTTAACCTCTGTTTGCTTCAGTTTCCCCATCTGTAAAATGGGGATAAAAATGCTGATAACAACAGCACCTACCTTGCAGGGTTGTTGTGATAATTGAATAAGGCAGTAATAATAAAGCACTTAGCACAGTGTTATATAGTATAGTAAGCACTACATAAATGTTAAGCTATGACTGCCCAGTAGATTGCAAGCTCCTTGAGAGCACAGTCTGTCTTTTGCTTCTTTTTGTATCCCCAGCACTCAGCACAGTGCCTGACACTTACATAGTTATTATTAGTATGATAAAATCCATTTATTTATGGTGTCTGTTTCCTTCAATAGCACTGATGGGTAGGCTCTATAACAAAGAATCCTTAAACTTAAAGCAACCCAAGGGGCAGCTAGGTGGCGCAGTGGATAGAGCACCAGCCCTGAATTCAGAAGGACCTGAGTTTAAATCTGGTCTCAGACACATAACACTTACTAGCTGTGTGACCCTGGGCAAGTCATTTAACCCCACTGCCTAGCCAAAAAAAAAAAAAAAGTAAAGCGACCTGGATCTTTGCATGATAGTTTTATATTCCCTCTTTTTCCTAGAAAATGCAAGCAGGAAACACCAGGTGACTCAATTGGAAATGTCTTCTTTTAAGGGTAGCCAGAACAACTCAAAAGTATTTAATATAGGCAATTTATTTGCACTGATGCTACCTTGATTGCTCCCTGGCTAAAACCAACTATTACTAAAGAATTACAATTCAGTTACCTAAAGGCTGAAGCAATACCATTTATTAAGATAGAATGCACTTTAGACAGTAAGGCACATAACATTTGGGCCTGCCAATTTACAAGAGCTTTTCTAACAGAGTCTCCCAAAAGTTAAGCCTTAATAGCTTAACATTGCTCTGTGGCTTTTGGGACACCCTCCATGTTGTAGACATCCTCAAAGAAATTCTACAGAAATTTTAGAAGTCTCATGTTGAAATTAGAGTGAGCTACAAAATTCTAGACAAAAATATTATGAATTCCTCAGAAAGGGGAGAATCTGTCAAATTTTAGAAACTCAAAACCAAGGAAACATTTTGCAAGATTTCCTCTCTAAATCATTAACTAAATAAGTGATTTGGACGCAAGTCTCCAACAGAAGTTTAACTAGGATATAAAAGGCCATGATGAACTTACACAAAATGGTCAAGAACTGTACTGAAAGGTTTCACATTACCCTCTAGATATGGCCAACTGCTAATGCTGTATGTTAACAGTCAATGGGCCAATCAGATAAATGAAATTCCCAGGCAATCTCAAATATCCTTTATTTACTGATTTTTTTTCTAACTCTCTCTTCCACTGTCCTACACAAACTGCAAATACAGCAGCAAACTGGAGTACTACTTTTCCAGACCTCTTCTTCCTCAGTCCTGCTCTCCCTTCCCATCTTCAGAAGTAAAGTGTAGCTAGAGAAAGAAACTGCCTAAACAGTACCCAGAAAAGGGAGAAGCAAGGTTTTAAGTATGATCCTGGGTTATGAAGAGGTGACAGAAACCACCTACACCTCCCAAGGATTTCATTCCCAAAATTTCATTAATGGTTTTCCTCATGAACTTATGTATATATTTGTGCATTTTTTAAAATGTCCTTTTTCTCTTGCTCATTCTCATTGCTTCTACTTCTATCATTAGAAGAACATTTAATATTTTAGGTGATATCTATTCTAAGGCAAGAACTGCCCAGTGACAATATGATAAGTCTCTCTCCAGAGTTATACAGAGATAGTATATAGAATGAATGGCTCTCTGAGTTTGAAATATCCAATTTAGAGATTGCGTCATATCTAATATGGCCTTAGGAAAAATGAAATAAAATAACAGAGGCACAGACAAACCATTTAATGCCATAGTGCCTTCACACACACACACAACCAGGTAAGATGATGGAATCAAATCCATTCCCTTATTTTCACAAAAATCAATACAAATCTCCAACAATATCTAAAGAAGCACTAATACCTCTTGACTCTTTTGATAAGTATTCAGGTAGAAATAAGGAAAAAAGAAAGAGACAGTACTGGTGTATATTCTGCTGGAACTACATCCTTTGAAAATACAAGCTACACAAGTAGATGTTTTAATAAAAAGTATCCTACCTCAGAGGTAACTTCTGTATCTGTGTCATCACTTAAGCACTGAGAATCTTCAAGGTCATCAAATATCCTAACTTCAATCAACTGGGAATTAAAAAAAAACAAAACACAAAAACAACCTCATTAGCAAGATTTGCACAGTTAGCTTGTGGCACAGAACAGAATAACATCTAAATTGCACATACTGTTTTCGTCACTAGCACTACCAAGGGAACAGCTTGGACGGGATTCTAAGATAAGGCTCTGAACACCCCCTGCTGGCTTCTCAACAGCTGAATAGGACCCAAATATTCCCTCAGCATTGAAGATGGTGACAACAAAAGTCTGTCCCTTTACAGGAAATGGAAAGAGGCATTCTAATATTCACTAACAGATGACCTGTAATTTCTAAAGGCAAGGGACAACACCTTTATTCTGAACTTTTGGGGAAGTATTTACAAAAAATGATAAGAATCTAAAAACTAAAGTAGTTGTTTACTTTCATTCACTCTTCATATAGAAAAGTCTAACAAAGCCTTGGTATTCTAATAAAAAGATGCTCACAACAACCCGGCAATAGCAAAAAATCACAAATGCAATCACAACTTCTGATACACTCCACTGAAAGGACTCTAGCTTAAAGATAAAAAAGGGGGCAGCTAGGTGGCCCAGTGGATAGAGCACTGGCCTGGAGTCAGGAAGACCTGAGTTCAAATCCAGTATTAGACACCTAACACTCCTTAACTGTGTGACTCTGGACAAGTCACTTAATCCCAACTGCCTCACACACAAATTCAAAAAAAAAAAAAGGGACCTATCTATTAAAAAATATTTATAGTAGGGTTTTTTTAAGAGCGAAAAACTGACAGCAACTATATTTAAACCCAGTAACTAAAGAGTGTTTTTTTTTAATTGTGGCAAATTAATGTAACATTGTCACCAAAAAAAAATCAAATCAAAAGAAATAAGCAGACTTACATGATGGATTCAGAAGAGTATTTAGGAGGCAGATAGATGAGGCAGATAAGAATGCTGGATTTGGAGTCAGGAAGAAATGATTTCAAATCCTGCCTTAGATGCTTATTAATGGTGTGACCCTGGGTAAATTACTTAATCTCTCTCAGACTCAGTTTCCATATCTTAAAATATGGATAATAATAGCACCTACCTCCCAAGGTTGTTGCGAGGAATAAATGCAGTAACATATGTAAAGTGCTTTACAAATCTTAAGGTAAATGAGAACTAACATTATCATTCAAATCCAGATTTAGAGCCAGATAGAATCTAGGGTCATCTATTTAGTCCAATTTCTATTTTACAAAAGAGAAAACTGAAACTAAGAATAATGGGGTGACCTGCCCAAGGTCACACAGGTAATAAATGACAGAACTGTGATTGTACCCAGTCAGTCAAGCAACAAGCATCAAATAAGCATTTATGTTCCAGGAACTGAGCTAAGACAAAAGTCAAGTAGTCCCTGGCTTCAAGGAGCACGCATTCTGTTAGGGGGCAGTGGGCAACAGCACGTACATATATAAGCATGTAAAAATTAAATAGTGATTTGGAAGAAGGTACTATTAGGTGAGATCAAGTATAAGAGTTGAGCAGAGTGCTGAAGGAAATTCGGGATTCTAACAAGCCAGGGTCAGAGCAGACATTCCACGTACAGAGGACAGACAGCCCATACAAAGATATGAAAATGGAAGCTGAGAGTGTCATGGAAAAAGAACAATAAAAAAATTATTTGGCTATACCAGAGGTTACATATAATAATATGTAAAAGTAATAAGTAAAGAGGTGTAATGTGTGATAAAGTTGAAAAGGTAGGTTGAAAGACCATAAATGCCAAGAAAGGAGCCTACATTTTATCCTAGAGATACAAGGGAGCCACTAAGGGGAGTGACAGGTTCAGCTATGTAATTAAGGAGAACCAATTCAATAGCTATAGGGAAGACAGATTGTTGGGATTGGACAGATAGGAAGAAGAGAAAGACATGTTCTGTTTTAGACATGTTGAGCTGGAGATGACCTTTTTACATCCAGTTTGAAACGTACTTTGGCATTCAGAAATGTGGGCCTGGAGCTCAAGAGAGAAACATGCACTGCGTAATCTAGATAGAGGAGTCACTTGTATGGAGATGATGATGAATCCTGGGAAATGATGAGTTCACTAACTGAGAGCACAGAGACAGAAGAGAAGGTACCCTGGATACAGCCTTAAGAAATATCCACAGTTAAGAGGACAGGATAGGGATGATGAGCTAGCCAAAGACAATGAGAGGAGAGAGAAGAGAGGAACCAGATGAGAGGAGTGTTACAAAACCCAGAAAGGAGAGAGTTCCTGGGAGGAGACAATGTCAGAAGCACTAAATATTGCAGAGTTCAAGAAGGATGAGGACCAGATACAGCAATTCCCTTGCCACATCCAAAAGAGATCATTGGTAACTCTGGATAAAACAATTTCAGGTAAGTGATGAAGTTAAAAAAAAAAAGCCAGACTGAAAGTAGTTGAGAAATGAAGTAAGAGAAGTAGTAGATATAACATGCGAGGACAACTTTTTGTAAGAATTAGACTGCAAAAGGGAGAAAAAATATAAGAAAATAGGAGGGATGGTTGGAACTAGTGAGTTTTTTTTTCTTCCAAGATTGTGGAAGACTTGGAGGCAGCAGAGAAGGAACCAAAAGATAAGCAAAGACTAAATACTGGAGAGAGGATGATTATGAGAGTACTCTGCTGGAGAAGATGCAGGGGAGAGGATCAAAGATGCATGGAAAGAGATTTGCCTTGGTGGTAAGGAGCAAAGCCACCTCTTTGACAGAGATTGGAGTTAAAAAGAAAAAAGAGAAAGAATGGGGACTATGTCAAGGATTTTAGAGATTAAAAAGGAGGTAAAGAGTCCAAGATGAATGATCTCAACTTTCTTAGTAAAGTATAAGGAAGACTCTCAACTGAGAGAGTGGTGGGAGAGGATAGTGGTGAAGCTTGAGGAGAGAAGGGAAGGTACAGCTGCTGTGAAAAGTGGGATACAGCATCAATTAGGAAGAAGTACAAAGATTGCCTTACTGCACTGAAAGTCCAGTTGAGATTAAATAACCCATTTGTAGCGTACCCAGGTAGCACTGCTTGCCTTCCTCTACTAGAGCTCCATTTAGTAGCACATTAATAGGAACAAAGGTGGAGGAAGGTGAAGAATAATCCAGGAATGGGTCTGGAAAGCCATGAGTGGCACTAGACCAAGGAAACAAAGGATTCAAGAGAGGTGAAGACGGGGAAGGAAGGCAAGTAAAGCTATACCAGGGGATATAGAGAGGATGAAGAATAAGTTTAAGAAGGAAAAGACATATGGAGAGATAGATTGCTAGGTTATAAAGATAAAGGAATTTCAAAATTATAAAAAGTCAGGTCTGCTTGACTCTAAATCCAGAGCTTTTCATTTTAACCCCCAACCTGAACAGCATACACAGTCTTCAACTATATGGACAAAAGAGTCAAAAGGTAACGAACCTTTGGACAAATTCAGAATGGAGCACAGATAAGCCTATGATACATATATGCACATATTTCTTTACTTTTTATGCTTTTAATTGTTGTTTATAATTATTTTAAGAAAAAAAACTAAAAAAGTTTCTACTAAACTGAAAAATAATGATTATAGTTTGTGGTACAGTAAACAGAGCAGCTCAATTCAGAGTCCCAGGGATCAGAATGTCAATGTTAGGAATACTTTCGCATTTAATCCACATTTGCCAATGATAATCCTCCTCCCTATCTTAAGCATCTCTATGTCTTTTTGCAGCTTCCTGTCTCACCAGGCTAAGAACATAAGCATCTACACAAACAACTATCTTCCACAAAACTGAATTCCTGTGAAAATCATTTTTAAAATGAAATAAACAAAAGAAGAGTTGCATACATAAAGTTTATCTGGGGCATGATTTTCACTGGATCTTTCCTTTAAGGATAACTGGGGGATATGTTTCTCTTTCAAGGATGTTTCCTTGTGGCTGTTTAATTTCTCTGGTACCAAAAAATACTTTTCATTACTTAAAAGTCTACTTTGCCTCCTGACTAAGCTCTGTAGTATATGTGAATAGGTTTCCAGAAGGAAAATTACAGAAGAAAAGAATAGGTAAGCAGAGACAAGTGAGTTGCTGCTTTCTCCAAACTAATTTCCTGTTTGTAGCAGGCTATAATAAAATGAAGAGGGGTAAATTATGAAATTTTTTAAAAGCTTTATCTTCTGAGAGATGGGAAAAAGGAAAAATGCAAAATGAGAGGGCATTGTGTGAGTAAACCATCAACAACAATTTGCTGAAGACCTACTACGTGTAAGACACTTACTAGGCACTGGAGGTGCAAAGTGACTTAAGACATGGTCCATGACTTGAGGAAGCTTCTTTACAAAATGTGCACACATGAGATTAACAAGACAGTTTTCTAGGACAAACCTTTTTGTCACTCTCTTTCCCTCTTTCACTTGCTTGCTCAGTATCGGTAGCTTCAACTTTTACTGCAACATTTAGCTGCTCTGATCCTGACTCGTTCAAGAACCACAAGTCATCCGTAGTGTCCGAAACAATGGCAGTATCTATATCCTAAAGAATAAGAAGATGAAAGTGGATGAAAGTCAGGATGGGTATTAAGAAGTCCATCAGTGAGGCTGATGCCACCTAACTGGAACAACTTCTCCCTCTTAAGGAGGACGTGGCTTTCCTCACTGACCATTCATTCAATGAATTAACCACCTACTGTATTCTAATATTAGCCAAAGAAAATATTCAAAAGATGATGAGGGCAATGAATTCTCCACAGTAATAGAAGTAGTAAATTCTCACACTAACAGGCACTTGCTAAATTCAGTGGTGACTGTGTCTTATGGAGCAACCCCTAAGTGACATCCTTCTACTGAGACTGCTGCCATAAGACTAGAGAAACAATTTGGAAGATTTTGAAAGGTTGCAGCTCATAAAGATTTGCTCAACAAAATCTCCCTCCCACAAATGGCACTGCAAAAAGATGGAAACCATCCTTGTACTCCTTTAATAATCAATTAAATTTACTGATGAAAAATCAGGAGATAAATAATGAAGGCTCCCAAAGCCCTTTGCCCTGGCACTTTCTGAACTCCTAGAGGACATAAGGATGAGCATAAATAATCTAATTACCCAAACCAAATTAAATGTCTAGCTTTCTCCATGGAGTATTTTATTTCTGCATCAATCTACTGATGTTCTGTGTCTATTCTTTCCCTAGCACTCTTAAGAAGCACTTTGCTAAAAAGAGGTTAATGTGTCTATGCATTCAGACTATTGTACTCTCCAACAAAAAACAAAAAAAATACATGCTCCTGTCAAAAGATAGAAACAAATTTCATTCTTTCACTTCAACAAAAAAAAAACACCCTGAAATTACAAAAAAGAAAAAGCACAACCCCTACAAATTTGACAGGCATTTACCTGATTTGTCTGTAAGTCAGTTGAGCCATTACTTCTCGGCGTGTAGTTGTTTCTCAAGTTTCCTAAGAACCACCAAGGCAGGCCAGCCACATCCCATTCCTCAAACACAAGGTCTAGCCTAGGTGACTTGTTTGGGGTTAAATTTTCTGTGAAGTCTTCATCTACAGAAGCTGAATGAGAATGACAATGAATATACTACCTATGTACTAGTATAAAACTGAAGAACCTACAAGCAGCTAGACGGCACAGTGGATAGAGCACCAGTCCTGAAGTCAGGAGGACCTGAGTTCAAATCTGGCCTCAGACCAAACACTTGACATTAACTAGCTATGTGACCCTGAGTAAATCACTTAACCCCAATTGCCAAAAATAACAATAATAATAATAATAATAATCCCCACAACTTCTGTACAAAGTGGATAAGGAACAGGAATTAAGTTCCCACTGTTCAGATGAAATACTCATTAAATGATCTGCTCCAGGTCTTCAGTAATTTAATGATGGAGCAAAGAATATACTGTAGTGCTTCCAACTCCCTGTTCACTGCTACAATAATAATAATAATAATAATCCCCACAACTTCTGTACAAAGTGGATAAGGAACAGGAATTAAGTTCCCACTGTTCAGATGAAATACTCATTAAATGATCTGCTCCAGGTCTTCAGTAATTTAATGATGGAGCAAAGAATATACTGTAGTGCTTCCAACTCCCTGTTCACTGCTGTAACCTATAAGCCAGAAGTAGGCAATTTACAGCATGCCTAACCCTTTTTCTTCCTCTACATTCTCCCTACTCCAACCTTCTATATATTCTCCTTTTAAAAAAAGGTCAAACAAATCTTTTCACTTCCAATGCCTTTACCAATGCCCGAAGCTGCTTATAGAACCCATAGGTGATTTCTAAGCCTTCACTAGCACTCCTGGCACCCCAACTGGGGTGCATGTGAGAGCTCATCTGACTCATTCAGGTGTTAGAACACTTGAATTCAAGTCCTATCTCTACTACTTAGTAACCATGAATAAATTAAGCAAATTGAGTAAATCAAAGTTCTCTGAACTCTTATTTTTTTTGAAGTAAAATAAGATAAAAATTCACAGTTATGAGATTTTAAAAGAGCATATATATTAATATAATTATATACATATGAACAGACACTATAACTCTGAAAGACTACATAAATATAAATTACTCTTATTAACAAACAATGGCACTCCAATAAATAGGTCCCTACAGAAGCAAGGTAGACTTTTATGTAAAGCAATTTTTACACAATGTGAATGGACATGGAGAAGGAAGGAAAGCAGGAAGGAAGCCACAAGCCCTTGGAGGGAGAGGAGCCAGCACATGGTTCAAGGACACATGGGGGCCAGGGACAGAGAAACAAGAGCAAGAGGAGGAACAGGCAGGGGCAACATAGAGGGGAACCAAGAGGAAAAACACTTGAGGAAGCAGACACATGGAGGCTAGGGCCAGGCCCTCGGTACCCAAGTTCCAAAAGACAGAAGACAGACACACAGGAGCCAGACACATGGGCGAGTATGGCAAAGGTATCCTCTCTTAGGCTGGAGACTTCAAGGTAAGCCCTCATCAGGTGCTGTGGCAATCCTTCCCTCTGAGAGGTTTTTTGTTTGTTTGGGGTTTTTTGGGTGTGAAGAGGCCATGGAGCACTGATCTGAGAAGCAGGAATGGAGAGGGAGGAGGAGATAGGGAAAGGCGGGGGAGAGGGAGAGAGAGAGAGAGACAGGGAGTGCGAGCGCACAAGAGCGAGCCCACAGTATGGTAAAGTTAAAGTAGTTTTTTTTGGGGGGGGTGGGAATGCAGCTTTCTTTCAGATTTATGTAAAGCTGAATTTGTGTAATGTGAATTGACATAAAGCAAGACCTGTCTGTACACTTAAAACTCATGTTGGTCACTATATCAATGGGTCTAAAAATGACTATGAATTTAGTTGCTCCTTAGACATTTCTAATAGCAGTCAAAGTATCAAGTCAAAGTTAGCTACTACGACTATGCTATATTAGCCATCTTCCTCATATACGAAAATTTCACAATCCATTCTAAGGGCACCTATTCTGAGAGACTCAAAATGAACCATTCTTTTCTCTTGAGCTTCGGATTTATCTCAATTATCGAGCCATTTGCTCCCACTCTCAAAGGGTGAATGCTGAGGGGACTGCAAAGCACACATCCCCAGATATATAGCATGATGACAAATTAAGTTTCTGTATACTTCAAACATCCTCTTTAGAGTGTTTCTGCATCATAAAGGATCTATATAAAAAATAAACTTCTAAAGACAACACATTTAAAACTCCACTCCAAAAACTCCTGATAGGGCTTAAAGATTTCAATGATCACACACAATTCAGTTTATATTCTAATGCAATCTGTACAAAGGGGAAAAAAATTCAGAGCCTGATAATTTGAACATTCAAAATATCCTTCAGGAAGGTCTTTAATATTTTGATGACATTACTTAATAATTAGATGCACTACTGGGATTTAAATTGCCATTTCCTCCAAGTGTGTATTTATTTATGAGACCAAGTACCTGGATTAGGAACCATGTATGCTATAAAATACTTTCCATGTATATTTATGATCTGTAAATCTGTGCACATAAAATCATGACTCTGAAAGACTACTTAACATAATGGAGATTTTATCTGGTTTCCCACATCCTAGTTAAACTCAACCTGGGTTTTTCCAACCATACATACGATGTTACAGCAATGTTATTTGGTTATTAGAACCAAAGGTCTGAGAAACAGAAATCTTAGTCCCAACCCCTGTTAAGCTCCATAAACTTCAAATTCCCTGAAAACTGCCTTCCCCATCCATCAGGCAAGGCAAACCCCAATTCTAATCTGATCAAGTATAGGGAGAGAGTGCAAACAGAAGGCTGATTTGAAGTGAACTGAAATTGAAATGGCTGTAGAGTCTTAGGCCACATGGAGAGGGAAAATTCACTTGGTGACTTATGGGTGAATGGGAGACTACTAACTGCATGATGACCTTTCTTCTCCCATCATCCCAAAGTCCTAATAAAAAATCAATCTGAAAGCAGACTGCTAAGGAACACCCTAGCCTCTTCTGAAAAACTCAACTGGATCTAGGGCTATAAAAGAAGTTTAAAAAGAATGCTGTTTCAAAGAATAACAAGGAGATGATATGACATATCCCTTTGACCTCAGTGTTCTGGGAAAACTATATTAATAACGCACTCAGAAACTCATAGATGAGAGCTTCTAGAATAGCATTAATTCATTACAGTAAATGTCTATGTTATAGAGGAGGATTATTTTAGTTCTTCTACTTGAATGATGCAAGAACCCAGGATGTTATCAGCAAAGGTACAACCTTCAATGAAGGAAATTACAACCCCTCTATGACTTAGCAAATGGTCTTCAAGAATTGTCATGGTTGAAAAATTACTCACCTTGTTGCCAAACTGGTGGTAATTTTTTCCAAGACTTATCCAAGTCAGTCTCTGTACAAGATACCCAGTCTGTCAAGAATTACATATTCAAAGTCTTTGTAGTTTGGCAATACCTGCCAAAACTTATGCTCTGCTAATGCAGCCTTCCAGAGCCCAGAGTCACACCATGATACCACAATAAGGCATTGGAGGAGGATTCTTTCATAGGGTTATTTTTATAGCCCACAACAAGAGAATCCATTGCTTTAGTTTAAAACCTCACCTGATCTTGGATTTCTGCATTTACGCTGTGAGGTAGACAGAGCAGGAGCATCACCTTCTTCGGGTCCATTCCTGGGGCTAGAACTTCCCTCTGCACCTTGCTAAATGGAAGGAAGGAGAAAACCAACCAATGAGTGTGGTAGACTAGATTGGGCCAAGGGGATGTAGCAGTTCCATTCTGAGTCACCAGTAAAAGTGCAACACAATGGGTTATGCACAAGAAAGTGAACACTGAAGTAAACAACACTCACCTACATTCAGAAAGTCAGTTTATCTTCCCTAACCCCACCATGAGTGGAGCCGGGAAGTCCCAAACCTGAGGAAAATCTCAGCTGAAAAAGAGGCCAAAAACGATCATTCTGAACAATCTGTCAGCACCTAGCCTCCTTCTAGCCTACTACTAAAATAAAGGAAGTGTCTCCTAGGAGATTGATTCAATGAACATAAAATCAAGATTATAGTAACAGGTTTGGGGAAAACTACAAGAAACTGCCTGATTGGTACTTACTTGCACATAAGATGTTTCAATTCCAGTAAAGCAGTTTGTTCAGAACACATGCGCATACACACATACACAAACTCAAAAGAAAGTGTAAACTAGAAGGAGTAAAGATAAGAAGTGCTACATCCCAAGAAAGACTCAGAGACTGGAACTCTGTTATGGGCAGAACAGAGAAGGTTCACTCTGTCCTTGGTCTGTAGACTCCCAAGAACTTTACCTGTCAAGTTTGACTACAAGGAGGAAAGGTTTTGGGAGCCCAAGATCCAGAGGTACAGAGAAGGGGCCACTCTGTACAACAAAAGAAGTCACCAGTTGGTGATTTTACCTTCAGTTGATCCTGGCTTGGAATATCCATACTCTGATCCTGTGCGAGAGCGAGAGTCTGTGCAGCATCTAGATGGTAAGTAAAACAAAAGGAAAAAAACCTTCCCTGGTAATAACCATTCTTTCCACACAAAAAAAAGGACCTCAGCAAGCATTCCTGGAGCCGGACTTGGCCCTTACAAGTGTAGGCCTCCATGATGACTGCATAATGCTTTCATTAGCAGGGAGAGAAGAATCAAAGACAAGGAAGCTAGATCAAGATGGGCCTGGTTAAAAACGAAGTAGAAAGTATAATTTGGGGGGAGGAGAGAGGGGAAGGAAGAGGAGATGCTTTACTTAAGTAAGATGGCTACAAGTGTTCTTCTACAATAAGTTCCCAAATTTCTCTACGAAATTTTGAAAACATGGCTACAATCAGAAATAGAACTCTTAAAATGTCATAGAGAACTCTTTAAGAGCTTCTTCACATGTGGTTTCACCATATTTTTTAATCAAACTGCCAAATCTGTAAAGGTCTACAACAAATCTGAAAACAAATCTCTCCACTTCCTTCATTACAAATAAGCATACTTATCCAATACAGTACCAGTGATACTTATGAGTATAATAAGCTGGTTATTTGACAACTACAACAGTGTTCATGAATTGATGTAAGATTATAGGTGCCTAAAACATGGCATTAATTACCCTGGTCACTATGTGTGTTCAAAAAAAGGGGCAAAGTAAGCAGATGAAAGACTTTATCAAGGTGAATAAATTATAATAACCATAGTGAGACTACTGTTTAGGGACTAAATCATTCTAAAGGAAAAATGCATTTCAAAGACTCCAACACTTGGAAATCTTGCAAACACTAAAGGAGACAGAAATAAAGCCTGGGCAAAATAAGGAACAAGGGAAGGAATCAAAGAAATAACATTGGTTCTGAAGTCAAAGGCCCTAGATTCAGATCTCACCTCTAATGCTTACTTCCTACTGCATAACCCTAGGCAAAGCATTTCGTTTCCTCACCTGTAAGATGAGGGGGGCTGGACTAAATAGCCTCTGTGGCCACTACCAGCTCTAGAGTTATGATCCTATGATCCTATGAAGATACTACCCAGAAGTACTTGTTATGGAGACCCATACGTACACCTCAGTTACAATGAGAATGGCTCTTAGCATGGTCATATCCATCCTCATTACACAATCATTGACAACCTTACTTATTTCAGGACTGCCAAAGAAAGACTAAAGATCTTTCAATCTTAACTCAGCTGACAATACAGATGTTGGTACAAAGCAGAACTCTCCAAAACTGCTACAGTTCCGTTAATTTTTTAAGTAAAGAGACATGCTTTGTAGGTTAAAAAAAAAATGTTTAAAGACAGAAGATGAAGGGGTCAAAACACGATTGGTCCTTTTGAGAAAAGCTTTGCTAATATATACTGTCCTTTAACGAGAAGTTCAAGTTAGGATACCACACAGATGTAGAGCTGGTTAGACAATTACTCTAAGGTGTAGCTCCAAAACAGCTACTTATTTCTGTTAAAGCAACTGGCAGAACAAAACAATGTAGAAATCACGTCTAGGAAAATTAACATGCAAAGAATGGAAGTATCAAATAAATGCCCAGACCTGCCACACCTGATTCCTTTTATTATCCTACTCAAACACACAGAAGATTTTTAATGGAACAAATTTCTTCAAAATAATAGCATTCCCACAAGCAGTACTGACGATGATAATGACAATGATGTTTGGGAGAGGGGTTACATCTGCTCTACTCTCTGTACTTTTACAAAATAAACAGTGTTTTATGACAAAAAAATTAAAAAAATAAACAAGAATTGAACATCTCTGATAAAAAAAAAAAACGGACGGACTCCAAAAAAACAACAAAAAATAATAGCATTCTCTTCAATCAAAACAAAAGGTATATCCCAGGAGGTGAAACGTGCTTCACAAAAGCTGTGGAGGTAAAGGAAGGAAGAAAGAGATTTCCTTTCATTTCTTTTACTAATGGAAAATGCAATATCCAATCCATTTAAGTTAACAGAAATAGCCAAAGGAAAGTTCATTCACAAAAGTGCAATTGCTATTAGAAGGGCAATCACAAAAACATTTTGAGGCAAATTCTGTCACTGGATGAAAAGATTATGTAGTGATAGCATTTATGGCAAGCTAACTCCTACAAAATTAGTATGAAATAACAAATGAAGTAAAAAAAAAACCAGGAGGACTTTAAACAGATATATATCTGTGTGTGTCTATGTATAGACAGATCTAGATATAGAGACATATGTATTCTATTATTGTTATAATTCAATTGTTAGACACAAAGTCTATTGATTTCCAGGGTATCTACTGAAATACCAGAAATTTATTGCTACGTTCCCCTCTTTTAGTGCTCAAAGAAACGTAGATTTTACAGCTACAGAAGCTGAACTACAAGTAATTAAATTTCAAGAATGTGGCCATTTCATTTACAAGGCCTTCCTGAACTTTGATTTGAGAAATGTCCCAGTGAGTCCAAGAGGACTCCAAAGTTTATTTGCAGAATATAAGAACTAAAATTCACATATTTAGATTTGAAATAGTTCAAAGTGTTTTCCCTTATTTCTAAGCAAGCACAATCATTGGAGATGGATGACTACCAACCTACTTATTGCTATAAACTATCAAAACAAGATAAAATTTCAGAGATTCACACAACTGGGATAGATTTCTTTAGAGGACAAAGCTTCAAAAATCTTCAGACTTTCCCAATTTGAGACGAGCTCAAACAATAGGTGAAAATCTGGGAGTAGAGGGTTAACAAAATTGTTCTGTAAATTTTACATTCCTAGAAATGATAAAGTACAAACACCCAGTTCTTTTTTTTTTTAAGTGAAGCAATTTGGGTTAAGTGACTTGCCCAGAGCCACACAGCTAGTGAGTGTTATGTGTTTGAGACTGGATTTGAACTCAGGTCCTCGACTCCAAAGCCGGTGCTCTATCCACTGCAACACCTAGCTGCCCCAAGGACCCCGTTCTTAATTATGTCTAATTCACTCGCTCAACCCTAGGACCTTGTCATTTTCTTGACAAATATAGTCAACACACACACACACACACACACACACACACACACACACACATAATTTCCTGCAAATACTTTATCAACAACATTGGAAGAGTAAATATATCATAATCAAGAAAAAAGTTAAACAAACTGGCACTTGAATACATGGCAGTAACATTTTAAAAAGTGATATATCCCTTCTAATCATTCTCATATGATTTCATTCATATTCCTCCTTTCCTATTACTTACCCTAATCAAGTCACTGCTGTACTATGTGTGGGTATATATTATATATATACACATATATATGTTCTGACAAAAGAGGATGGACATACCTGTGACAGTTGCAGTAACCAGGTTCTTTCTTAGCATGTCATAAAGGGGGCTGTTAAGAGATAAAGGAAAAAATTAAACACTGAAAAAACATACTCAGATTTCTATAGTTCTCAGAACTCTCAAAGTGCTTTTTATCACATGTTATTATTTCTCTCCATATGAGGCAGGGAGATGCTGCATCATTATTCCTATTTAACTGATACAGAAAAAGATCTATGAGAGAGAAACTAGTAAGTTCGATTCCTGTAGCTTGCCAACCTAAATAAAGATTACTTCACGGAAGAATCAGTTCTTGCCTTCCTAGTTTTAAATTTGAATTAAGCAAATCCCCATTACAATTCCAAGATAAGGGGCAGCTAGGTGGCGCAGTAGATAGAGCTCTGGCCTTGAAGTCAGGAGAACCCAAGTTCAAATCCAATCTCAGACTCTTGACGCTTACTAGCTGTGTGACCCTGGGCAGGTCACTTAACCCCAACTGCCTCACCAAAACAGAAAACAACAACAACAACAACAACCCAATTCTAAGATAAGATGGATTCAGAAGGGGTAGATATTACTACATAGAGAGAAAAGAATGTGGACTTCTCAAGTCCTGATGGCTTGTGGACACAGGACCACATATCACACAGTTTGTGGACAAACCCTCGGAGGCGAACCTTGAATCTTCTTACCTCGGATCTTTCACAGAGAAACTTTGAAGTCCTAGCAGCTCTCCTAGAAGATCTCCACCACAATATACCATGTGCTGTTCTTGCTGATCATAAAGCTGCTTCACCATTATATACTGGCCTAGATAATGCATGACCTGCAAGGGGATAAAACAGCAAAACAACATCTGTCCAGATACTCCCTAAAATTCAACATTCATTTTTATAGGAGATGAGGGATATCTACTGAGGAATGTCAACATCAGTATTTTTGAGGACCTCAGTGACAGAGTAAAAAAAATCTCAGAATATCAGAACATGATTGGTTCTAGCTGCAATAAAATGAGAGCTCCATGAGGGTGAGAGTGGTTTCAGTACCCTGTTCCCAGTATAGTACTTTGTACTCAGTAGTGACTCAATAGATATTTAAATCCCTTCCTATCCTGACACCACCCAGTTTCCATCCCTATCATTCTGCCCCTCCACTCACTTTCAACATTCCTTCTACATTGCTCTCTCCCTCCACATTGGCAACCCCTCAGACCTGGAAAGCTGCTCCTCTTCATCTCCACCTCTTGGAATCACGCCTCAGCTCCAGTGTTGCCTTCTGCAGGGGGCCTTCCCTGTCCCACCAGCTCTTGGTGCCTTCTCCCCTAAAATCATCTGGTACTTGCTCTGTATATACCTAAATATATGCCTCATCACGAGTCCTTCAGGATTATCTTGGATCACTGTATTGCTGAGAATAGCCAAGTCACTCACACTTCCTCATCGTGCACTATTGCTGTTACTGTGCACAATGCTTCTCCTGGTTCTGCTCACTTCACTTTGTATCAGTTCACATAAATCTTTTCAAGTTTTTCTGAAATGATCTTGCTTGTCATTTCTTATAGCACAATAACATTCCATCACAATCATATACCACAACTTGTTCAGCCATTCCCCAGATGATGGGCATCCCCCTCAATCTCCAATTCTTAGCTACCACAAAGAGCTGCTATAAATATTTTTGTACAACTAGGTCCTTTTCCCCTTTTTTGGATATCTTTGGGATACAGATCTAACATACACTCCATCTTTTAAAAAGATTAAGAAAGCACTTTTCTAGCCACCCTAGCCTAAAGCCTTTGGACTGATCTGCATAAGAAACTTTTATCCTCTGAAACAAAGCCCTACACTGAAATCTTTTTATATCTTTCTTACAGAAGACCTAACTAGTTCCTAATCCATCCTTCTTGAAGTGATTTAAAATAATCTTTAGACCAAGGGAAGGAAGTCTCCAGTTTACTTCTGACCAAGTAGAACTAAGAATCTTCAAAGCAGAATTCTTCACCTTTTTTTGTGTTTCCCATAAAATATTTTAAGAAATAAGTTCCAGAACCCCAGGCTAAGAAGTTCTGCCTCCGAGGGAATGAATATCCAAAGAGACTGAATAATTTTATGAAAATTATTCAGAATGCACCAACACATTAAGTTACTACTGTTCTGGGACTATTACCTAAATTTTGAACTTTTACTTAACCCCAAGTGTGGAATTTTATTTATTGGAGATTATAAATTAACACCCCAAAATGGTTTGTATTAGGAATTTTCAAATTTCTAACATGGGCATAGGGAACTCTGCCCATCTTTGGACCTCTATTTCTCTAATATCTAGAATGTGTTTAATCTAAATGAATAAAAACTGTAGTTTTTTCTAGTAGTTTTGTGCCTAAAATGCATATTATGGAATTTTTTTCTCCATCTTAACTTATTCTAGTCAGCTAGAATCATAGCACTTAGATGGAACATTATCTAGTCCAGCACCTTCATTGTACAATAGTTTCAATAAAATGAAAAAAAAGAAGGAAAACTACAGAAGAGGAAACACTAAAGCCTTAAAGAAGTCTGAAGAAGGTTAGAATCTTATACATGTGATCTTCTACCATTTTTTTCCTGGAACTGTAGACTACATAATTACCTCTGTCACACCAAAACCATTTTCTTAGTGCTAATAAGCTCAGTGATCTTCCAAATAAAAGGCTCCACATACAAGGAAATCTTACTTAGAAGGTCTTCTGTCTTCTCAACCTCACTCTTGATACCTAACTTAGGGATGACAAACTATATCTTGAATATATGGAGACTACTTTAACAGAATCATGTTCCTTTAAATAACAGCATTCCCTTCAATCAAAAAAAAATCTATAGCAAATGAATATACTTAAGTTCAGCATGCAATTACTTAAAAATTCACTCTACTTTGCAGCATTTCACCTGAGTAACAAAATAGAAGGAAAATAGACAAATACATTAACTATAATCAAAAAGTTATGACCAAAAAAAATTTTTAAAAATCTTGACTTGAAAGAAATGATAAATGCCTCTTATAGAATGAGGTTTATCTGACATGATTAGTGCATTGATTCATTTTGCTTAACTGAACTTTTTTGGTACTTGGGAAGAGTCTCTAACAGGCAAGAGAGATACTGGTTAATGAAAGCAATATTTTTAAAAAGAACATCAATAAAATAATTTAAAATTATAAGTAAAATAAATCCTATACTCTCACTACTCATTTTAGCTTAGTGCTGCTTTATTTTACAGATTTAAGTTTAGCAATCAGTAACACAAAATTAAAGCAACTAAAAAGTAAGTGATTTGCCCAGGTATCAGGCAAAAAACCAAAAACCAGCAGTAACAATGCTTCATTAAGTCCATTTATATCCTCAGCCAGGTAGAACTCATAAGCAGAGTAAAGTACGTATTATGAATCATTTATGCCCATACACCTCTGCAACTTAATTTGCTGAGCCTAAGGGAACTGTCAATAACTACCTCATTATCATGTTGGACATCTGCACAGACAATCCCCTAAAGCTACTCTCATTACATTGGATAAGTGATGCTACAATATGCCTTTTTCCAAGATACGTGCCCCAAAGTACTAATTGAAATAGTTACTAAGTAGCCTAAACAAAGAGAAAGGAAAATGAGTGACCAAAGGAAGACATCCAAAGACACTACATGTGTCAAATTGTGAGGAAGAGAACTTGTCCAGAACACAGAGCAGGCTTCTCTAATAATATTGTTACGGAAATGCATACTTTTCAAAATACTTTCTCCTCAATTACTTTATTTGATTCTGACAACAATCCTCTGAATCAGACAGGTCAAGCAGTATTAACCTTATTGCAAAGAACAGGAACTGAGGTCCAAAGCGATGTACTCACTGGCCCAAGAAAAAGCAGCGTGGCATTCTAGACAGAGAGGTGGCCTTGGACAAAGAGAGGGGGTTTTGTGAGTCACAAAAAGCCTTAGTTTGGAGCATCTAGATGGCACAGTGGATAGAGCACCGGCCCTGAAGTCAGGAATACCTGAGTTCAAATCTGGCCTCAGACCTAACACTTGACACTTACTAGCTGTGTGACCCTGGGCAAATCACTTAACCCCAACTGCCTAAAAAAAAAAAAAACTTAGTTCATCTCCTGCACAGACCAAGCTGTGTGACAGTGAACAAGTCCCTTCATCTCTCTAACTCTGCTCCTCATTCACAAAATGGTCATAATACTACCTGTAGTACCTTTCAGTACTGTTTGTCATGAGGCTTAAATTAGATTATATGCCTAAAGTATTTTGCAAATTTCAGACATATAAATGCCAGTTATTATTTTAATACAATAAGCTGATGACAAAACTGGAACTAGAACACAAGTGTACCAACATATTGCAGGGCTCCTAACTATTCTGTTGCCTCAATGCACTTACCATTAAGTGCACTGACAGGAGATTCTAGGAAACCATTAAATGTTGATGTGCTAACATTAAATTGAATTGCTATGGCCCTATGTATTTCTTGATCAGTTTCCTGTTGACCTGAATGCCCAACAAGTGTTTTCTCACCAACAGAATGTAATCTCCTGTTATGTGGGGGGAATGAGGCCCACAAAATCGTTTAACCAAAAAAAGAGTACTTATATTTGAAAGGCTGAGTGTCATTGCTGTAAAACAACACTGGTATAAAAACTGAAGGTTTAGGAAGGGTTCTAAGACAGTGTTTTCTTAATTTCCCTTTTTTAATTGAAGTCTTTTGTTTTGATCACATTCCTCTTGAAATATATCTATAATTATGTCTTCCAACCAAACCCTACCTAATAACAAAAATTTTGAAAGGACAAAAAAAAAATCATTTCAACAAAACTCAAAACTAACACACAGGCCTGTATATTCAATATTACCTGTCCATAGTCCCCCAACCCTGCAATGAATGGAAAGAGAGTTCTTTTCTCAACTCTTCTCTGTGTCAAAGCTTCATCATTTTAATTATAAAGCATTTGATTTATTTTTACTGTTATTTCTGGCAAAGAACTTTCAACTAAACATGAGACTTTGATAGACCAACAAGGCTACTATAGTGTTTAGATTCTCAAAGACAAAATCAAGGGGCAGCTAGGTGGTGAAGTGGATAGAGCACCAGCCCTGAAGTCAGGAGGACCTGAGTTCAAATCCGGCCTCACACCAAACACTTGACACTTAACTAGCTGTGTGACCCTAGGCAAGTCACTTAACCCCAACTGCCTAAAAAGCAAAAAAAAAAAAAATTAAAGACATAATCATGTTAGAATTTAGGAAATGGTATAAAAAAGCTTATTCAAAATCTAGCCCTTCTGGAAGGTAATTATATCAAATTGGAAATACCTTTAAACTTGGGGGAAGAAGGAGAGTGGTAAGATTGGGAGAGGAGAAAAAGAGACTGATAATCATAAAAAAAAAAAAAGTAATCGTTACTCTCAAGAGCTGACAGGGCAAAGAGAAAATATTCCAAGTGGTCTTAAAAAAAAAAAACACCTTTACATCAAAGAACTCTAGTAAAAATCATGCAAAACCACCTATCAGCAACAAGAAAGGAAATATGGGAAGAAAAGGGGAACATGTCTTGCACACAAGAAAAATGTATACAGAATGTTGACCTTAAGTCTGAGGATGGAGGAAGATGGGGAATTTTCACAGAATTAATTTCCAAGCACTATATTTAAGAAACCCAGAACTGGGCAAAAGTCTTTGAAAGGCAAACACATGAGACATTCCAGTATAGTAAAAATTGTAACATTATCCAAATTACTCTATAGATTTAGTGCTTTACTAATCAAACTACCAAAGTAATTAGACAATTTTTAAAAAATGATTTGGAGGCCTTCTAGGGCTGTATCCCAAAGAGATCATAAAAATGGCAAAAGGCCCCATATGTACAAAAATATTTATAGCAGCTCTTTCTGTAGTAGCAAAGAATTGGAAATTGAGGGGATGCCCGTCAACTGGGGAATGTCTGAACAAGTTGTGGTATATGAATGTAATGGAATACTATTGTGCAAATAAGAAATGATGAGCAAGTGGACTTCAGAAAAACTCTGAAAGACTTGTATGGACTAATGCTGAGTGACGTGAGCAGAATCAGAACATTGTACACAGTTAACAGTCACACTGTGCAATGACTAACGTTGATAGACTTAGCTCTTCTCAGCAATGCAAGGATCTAAGACATCTCCAAAAGTCTCATGATGGAAAATGCTAGCCACATTCCGAGAAAGAACTATTGAGTCTGAATGCAGACTGAAGCACACTATTTGCCTTTTTTCCTTCCATTTTGTTTTTTTTCTTCTTTCTTGTGGTTCCTCCTATTGGTTCCAATTCTTCTTCAAAACATGACTAATGTGAGGATATGTTTAGTAGGAATGTATACGTATAGCCTATGTTGGATTCCATGCCACCTTGGGAAGGGAGGTAGGGAGTGAGGGGTAGAAAATTTAAAATTCAAAAGCTTATAGACAGGCAGCTAGGTAGAGCACTGGCTAGAGCACTGGCCCTAGAGTCAGGAGGATGTGAGTTCAAATCCAGCCTCAGACATTTGACACTGATTTTGTGACCTCGGGCAAGTCACTTAACCCCATTGCCTAGTTTAAAAAAAAAGCTTACAGAAGTGAATGCTGAAAACTAAAATAAATTAATTAATTTTTAAAAAATGATTTGGAGGAATAGAAATTTAAGAATATCCAAGGAAATAATGAAAAAATGGTAGGAAGGAGAGAGGCTTAACACCACCAGATTTCATTACACACTACAAAGCAGCAATTAACAAAATTATCTGCCACTGGATTAAAAAATGGAAAAGGATATCAGTGGAATAGGTTAAATAAACAAGACCTACAAACAAATGCAACTAGCTTTTGATAAATCCAAGAGCACAAGCTACAGGAGAAGAGGTTCTTCATTAGATAAGATTAATAATAATAACAATAGGGGCAGCTTAGGTGGTGCAGTAGCTAGAACACCGGCCTAGGATTCAGGAGGACCTGAGCTAAAATCCGGCCTCAGACACCTGACACTTACTAGCTGTGTGACCCTGGGCAAGTCACTTAATCCCATTGCCTAGCCAAAAATAATAATAATAATAATAATAACAACAACAACAATAATGATAGCTAATATATACATTGTGCTCTAAGGTTTGCAAAGAGCTTTACACAGGTAACTCATTTGATCCTCACAATAACCCTGTGAGGTACGTGACTATTATCTCCATTTTATACATGAGCAAACTGAGACACAGAGAGGTTAAGTTACTTGCCTAGGGTCACAGAGCTAGTGTCTGCAGGAGGATTAGAATTCAGGTCTTCCTGTACCACCTAGCTGCCTATATAACTACTGGTAACAATAAAGAAGCTTAACATATAGCATATGAATGTACTGCTCATAGAGCCATGAACCAATTCAACCATTTTGAAAAGCAATTTGGAACTGTGCCCAAAAAGCCACTAAAACTGTGCACACTCCTTGACCTCAAAATAACACTACTAGGCCTTTACCTCAAATACATCAAAGAAAGAAGAAAAAGTTCTACGCATACATAAATATTTATAGCAGCTCTTTTGTAACAGCAAATAATAGGGAACTAAGAGGGTACCTATCAATTGGGGAATGGATAAATAAGTTATGGTATATGAATGCAATGGAATACTATTGTGCCATAAAAAATTATAAAAGGGGATGTTTCCATGAAACCTGGGTTAGACATGCATTTAGAATGAAGTGAACAGATCAAGGAGAATAATAACAATATTGTTTAAAAAAAAAAAAAGAACTCTTGATCAACACCATGATTCCAGCAGACCTATGATAAAGCATGCTACCCACCTCCTAACAGACAGAAAGGTGATAGGCTCAGGATGCAGAACAAGACATGTGCTTTCAGACATGGCCAAGGCAAAAATGTGTTTTATCTCACTATATTTGTTACAAAGGTTTCGTTTTTCTTTTTGGCACGGAAGTAATATGAGGAGTGGGAGACAAAATAAACTACTGTTCATTAAAAAAAAATTTTTTTTAATTAAAAAAAGCCTAACCAAAAAATCTTTAGTTCAGTATTTTATACCTTCTACCACAACAAATTCCAAATGGATAAATATCATAAATACATAAAGTTATATAATTTTAAAAAAACTAGAGAGAAAAGAGAGCTCTTTCACAACTTCATAATCATGAGAGATGAAACCTTCTATTCTCGACTAATTTTTATTCTCTGCTAGGAATGAAAATTCTACACTATTTTCTACTCTATTCTATTTTTCCACTAGGGAAAAAATTCATAATCAAACATAAGACAGAAAATATCATGAAATACAAAATAGACAATCATTGTATAAAACTAAAAAGCTTCTGTACAAATAAAAACCGATCCATCTGATGAAAAAATACAAACCTGGGGAAAACTGCATTAAAAAATTCTAATAAACGTCTGATAGCTAAAAACTGTAGGAAATGACAAAAGTATACATGACTAAGAACCACTCCCTAAGCAACAGTCAGATACTAACAATTATTATCTCATTTAAAAAAAGACTTGAAAAATTTTCGAAATCCCTATGAAGAGACATACTAAAACAATCCTGAAGCATTAATCCCCTACCCTATTCCCCAACTATTAAGCTGCAAAGATACTAAAAAGATGGAAAACTCATTGTTGAAAATCATGCTTGCTAATTCATTAGTTGTAGAGCTATATTTGAATTGGTTCAATACTCCTGGAAAACAATCTCAAATTATGCAATTAGTTTCTAATTTGTTCATACCCTTCAAGAGATTTCTCTACCGAGATCATCACACAGAAAGTAAGTTACAGAAAGGTAAGAACCCTATTTACACACATGACCATAAGAGCCTACTGGTGATAACAAAAGGCCCTCAAACTTGAGAAATGCTTTACAAATTAAGGTATGTGAATGAAATGGAATATTACTGCAATATAAGGAATAATGAAGAACCCAGAGGAACCTGAGAAGACCTACAAAAGGATACACTAAATAAAGTTAATGGAACCAAAACAACAGTATATGCAATGAGTACGATGGAGAAGCAACAACTCTGGCCAAATGCAAGAGCATCTTGTCAGTTAAATGACACATGCCTCCTCTAGATTAACAATAAGTAAATTAACTTTCTCCAAGAATGTGCTCTCAAACAGTTTGTTTGGAACTGTTTTGCTGTGTCAAAACAAAATGTTTCAGTAAATTAGAGACACATACACATAATTTTTTTCCATTCAATGGAAGATCTTTACTATGCTATGTGTGGACTTCTAACACTGATTAACATTTTAACACTAAGCCCTCAACCACTTAAAAGCATTCAATTTGTTTTTGCAAAAAAAAAAAATTTAGACGCTAAATAAGTTATTTAAATGCATAAGTGTTTAAAATAAGTCACAGGGTTCTGCAGGAATATCTGACACAGTTATAATGAAAAACTACTGCATTTAATTCCTGGCTGGCAGGATACCCTGTAAATCAGTGACAGTGTCATTTTTTTAATCTTGTACACACTTTGCATTTTAATCTTAAAATAAATGAATTCACAGTGAATCTTACATTTAGCTGACAACACACTTCAAAAAGAGCTCTAGAGGAAAAAATTTATAATGAAATACAACTTGAACTTAAGTGTTTAAAAGACAGCAGAAGCTGCTACTCCAGCATCTCAAAACTACAACTCTTGATTTAAATCTTCTCCCCTTCCCATGATGTGTCCTGAAAATATCTGTTACACAGTAATCTAGATTGTCTAAAAGTATATACAGTGAGCTGCTAAAAGAATCAGACACTAATTCATATCCCGGTTTCCACTGTTGAAGTATTCTTGAAATGCGTTAGAGAATTAGTTGACTTCTATTTTTTTCTACAAGTTAATGTACAAGAGGTCTAGACGCTTACCTCTTTCATTGTGAACATTTCACCTTGTGCACCAGCTGCTTGCAAAATCTTTAGCAGTGGCAGTTTTGGTCGTACCTAATAAAGACATAAATATAACCTGCTATTTACATTTTAGCTAAAATTTCATGTATATCCTGAAAGACATACACAAATATGGGAGTCTCTCTAAATGCCTAGGAAACACTGGAAGTTATTTCTTACACACAGACCATTACATTAGCAACCAATAATATTTATTCATTGTCCTTACGAACATGAAATACATTTGTCCTAGCATTTTCCCTTCAGAAATTTATGTTCCCAAAATAAAACGTTAGTTTCGATATCCATCTATTAAGATATTTACTCATACATTTTAAAATAACTTTCATCATTTAAGTGCATTTTATGCATCTAACACTTCTGAGGAACTGCTCTTTTGCATAACCTCACTTGAAGAAAAGGAACGCCAGCCAACTGGAGACTTAAAATTCAGGTAGGAGAGTAGTGTGATACAGGAGTTAGAGAGCCAAGCACAGATTCGGGAAAATAAAGGATCGAGGGGCAGCTAGGTGGTGCAGTGGATAGAGCACCAGCCCTGAAGTCAGAAGGACCTGAGTTCAAGTCCCGCCTCAGATCAAACACTTGCAATTGACACTTAAGAGCTGTGTGACCCTGGGCAAGTCACTTAACCCCCAACTGCCAAAAAAAGAAAAAGAAAGGATCAAGTCTTGCCTCTGATACATATTGATTGGATGACCATGGCAAGGCCCTTTAACTTCTCAGTGCTGCCAGATACATCTCTAAGGTTAAACTGCAAAGCAGGTGCCAATCTAAATTAGTTGAAGAAGCTTTCAATATCAAAGAAATCACAGATATGATCCAAAAAAAAAATTAATCAATTTTAAAAATTAAGAAACAAAACATTTTCCAAAGTAAGTTAAATTTTTAAATACCAGTAAAAGGGCTCTTTTTGGTTGATCCACTGGCTATCATGCTGATTTAATAACAGCTCACTATATGGTATTTTTTATCATGACCTCATTTAATCTTCACAATAACCCTGTGAAATTGGTAGTATAAACCTAACACTTACAAATAAGGAACGTGAGGCTCAGAAAAGTCACTACTCAAAAGCAGTGAGACTCTTTTAGATTCCAAATCCAGCATTCTTTCCACTATGTTAAGTTGCCTACACTTCCTGTACTGCTTAAGACAAGACAGTAAATGCTCAAGATGAGGATCCCTTTTCAATGTTACCCACCAATGTTTTGCTGATCCAAAATGTCCAAATTTTCTATAATCTGATTAGGTCAGTAAAGGATATTATACTAAACTAAATGTACTTTTGACATTTTTTTAAACTTTCATATCTGCACAGTACAATCTGAGAGTTCACTAATTTTCCTATAATCTCCTACTAGCTTAATACTTTGATTTACCTTTTTTTATTTTAAATGGATGGACGAACAGAGTTACTGATGGCTGTAACAAAGACATCCTTCTCTTCTTTCTCCAGTCCCTTCTGCCACTGGGAAACATACTCCCAGGTAAAAAAGTGAAAGTAACCACATTTTTTTAAACAAATAAGCTTGATTACTATCATAATGTCTCTAAATGCCAGATTCAAATTGTGAAATAGTTAACCTGTAAGTTTTCAAATGTCTATTCTGTCCAATCTAGGTGGTATTTTTCCTAAGCAAAAATTCAAGCCTTTATCTTCAAACTGTCATTTTAAAGTTTTCTCTGGATTTCTTTTCATTGTTAAATTGTAACTAATCTAGATTTACTATACTAAACTATAGAAGAGCAAAAAGGCAATAGCCAGAAAAACAGTTGGGATAGTGGTGGTAGTAGGCTGCTGCAACATGCTACATATCTTTGCCAAACTAGACTGATCAGTAAAAGCCTAATTTTGCCACTGACTTCTGTGCCTTTGAAGTATAAATTTCTTATAGCAGAATATGAAGACATAGCCTCAATAATAAATCACAGTAGTTTTCAATTAAACTTTAATTATCAAATAAAAAAGAATCAATGACTAATGTCCTTATAACACCTATTACTTTCATTAAGAGCCGAGTACTTCACAGAGGTACTAATAAATAAAAAAGGAGTTGGACCCTAAGCTGCAGATGGAAGAAAGTAAACATGCTGGACAACCTACTCCTGAATAATCCACAGAAGACTGTCTTACCACATTAGCACAATCCTTACATTCAGAAAAACATTAGCTTTCAAATTATTTCCTTCTTTAGTAATCAAAACATTTTTACTTAGTAGTCAACTCAAAGTTATGAGAGCCTAGAAAAATTGGTCACGGCCTCCACAAGATGTGTTTCCAAAGCAGTTCTGTAGAGAATGTTATCACCAGTTAGTTCAGTTCCCATACTAGAGCTGCAGATCTTCTTTAAAGAGAGAGAAACAGAAATACCCAAAGGCAATTTACCTGATTGACTTGTCCTGGTGAAATTCTGCAAGCATTTTCAGATGCTGAACAATGTGCGGCAGTAGAAGACAATGACATTTTGGCAGTGAAGTTGCGATCCGTAGGTTTTACTGGAAAAAAGAAAAAAGAAAGTTACTCAAAGCATTGTAGACTTCCTAAATTCAAAAACAGGTTAATCACATCAATTTTTCAAGATATAACAAAAGAAATATCCACTATCATTCTAAAATAAAGGCAGTTCCAACATAAGCAGTCGGTGTATCTATCCTGTCTGAATGACTTTCAGGCAGGCACATGCCAACAAGTAAATCACTGACACCCTCTCTCAGGTAATTTTGTCTGAAGCAAAAAACAGGTTCACATATAATCCAACCTCCACACAACATTCTAAAACTAAATTATTTTACCTTCAAGTCCAACTCACATATCATGCCTTCTTCCCTGAACTTCTCCCCTGTCTCTACTTGGTTCTTCCTCTCTAAGCTCCACAACACCCTCTTCAGTAGAAGTTACTTAGATAAGGATGCTAAAGTATTTCAGCAGCACTTAAAGAGAAATCTCCAGAGACAAGTTAGGACAAGTCTTTGAACCAGGTCATGGGAATGTGAGTCAAGACAGTTAGTAACAGCTTAGTCAACCTTTAAGAACAATGTGAAATCCAGTCACAGCAAAGGTTACAACACAAATGAGTCAACCAAGAATAAAGTACCATCAACTCTTGATTTTTCATGAAGAAAAATGGCATAAACAAATCCAGGGATGATTCACTTTTGCCTAATTTCCACTACTCCCAAATTTTTGTTTTTATAGGGGTAAAATGCTCTACCTTAGAAGCAGGTAGTTTACCTTAATGAGCGAGCCTGCCTTATGTTCACTGTCTGACAAAGGAACTAATCTATCAAGGGCATATTTAAAGAGTCAGCAGGGAAAATACATAAAAAGGTTAGAAAATCTATCACAGAAAAATCAAGAATTGGCTAGTATTCACAATAGCTGGTTTTTTTTTTAAGGCAGGTGGGGTTAAGTGACTTGCCCAGGGTCACACAGCTAGCAAGTGTCGAGTGTTTGGTCTGAGGCCACATTTGAACTCAGGCCCTCCTGACTTCAGGGCCAGTGCTCTATCCACTGTGCCACCTAGCTGCCCCCACAATAGCTGTTTTGATGAACTACACTTAACACCAACTATGCAGAATAGAAATGATCCTCAAAACAATTTTGCAATGAAAACAACAAAGATAAATGATTTGTGTGCCAAAAGCACATTTATTTCTTAAGATAATAAATAAAACACAAATTCATTGCCATATATTACTGTACAACTGCCACACAATACAATAAAACAAATATAAATTAAGTAGAGAGTAGGAACTAATCACTGGGGGAAATAGGGAAGAGATTTGCATAAGAAGTAGTACTTGAAGTGGAAGTGAGAAGGGATTGTAAGGCAAGTACCACAGAAAACCAGTACAAAGGAATACAAGACATAAAATGGGAGTTTTGGAAGTAGCACATGGACCTACTTAGTTGGACCATAAAGACAATTAATATGAAATACTTCAATAGACTATGAAGGGAGATTAATGTGAACTACAGTACATCTAGAATGGCAGGCTGGAAAGCAGACAGACTATGAAGGGTTTTACATGATAAGAGGAGAGTATATTTTCCTCTAACAGCAACTGAGAACTACTGAAGACTCTTCAGTAATCAAGTGTGGAGGATAGAGAAAGTGATAAAAAGAAAGGAGATCAATGGGGGCAAGAAGTGATAAGGGTCTGAGTTAGGGAAGTGACAGTATGGGTAAAGAAAAAATGACAGGTCAAGAAGAGAATCTAGGGACAGGTAGGTGGCACAGTGGATAAAGCACCAGCCCTGGAGTCAGGAAGACCTGAATTCACATCCGACCTCAGACCAAACACTTACTAGCTGTGTGATCCTGGGCAAGCCACTTAACCCCAACTGCCAAAAAAAAAAGAGGAGAATCTACAGAATCTGGCACTTGACTGGAGTTCAGTGATGTGAGAGAGTGAAGAGTCCAAAATGGTACCAGCTCGGGTGGAGGAAGCAACTTAATTAAGCACAAAGGGCAGAGTCAGCCTAGACACTTTGGCTGGGTTCTGCTTAAGATAAACTAACAATAGAAGTACACAACAAAGGAGATTTGTGCTGGAGACATTGAGGGATCTAGTCCAAAGACATCTGAAAGAGAGAAGGATATATCAAAAGCTTGAAAAAAGTTATAGACCACATTGCTACCCAAAAAAAGCAATCAAGATAATACCGCTTTCTCATTTCTATAAAATCTTTGTGGAAAAAACCTATATACCTATTTCCACTCTCTCACTTATCTTCAATCTCTCCTTGTCTACTGGCTCCTGCCTACAAACACGTGCCCAATGTCTCCCATCCTCAAAAAACCCACAATTGATCCTTCCATCCCTGACATCTTTCCATATCTCTCCTATCTTTTGTGGCTAAATCTCTTGAGAAAGCTATTCTACAAGAGGTGCCTCCACTTTCTTTCCTCTTACTCTCTTTCTAACTTTCTACAGTCTGTCTTCTGACTTCATCATTCAAAGAAATGTCTCTCACTCTCTCACTACGTCTTTAAGATACTACTCTCTCCTGGTTCTCAGTCTCCTTTGCTGGAGCTTCATCCTCCACAGCTTTGTCACAAGCCCTCTTTTCTTTTCTACTATACTATTTTGCTTGGTGCAGTTCCCATGGGTCCAGTTATCATCCTTTATGCAGTTAATTCTCAGATCTATTTATCTAGCCTTAATCAATCTATTGACTTCCATCTCCAAATGCCTACTGGACAATCTGTATACATCTTAAAGCTAAAAATGAACATCATATTTCACCCATTCCTAACTTTTCTATTACTATCAAGAGCACCATTTTTCCCAGTCATTCAGGCTCAAAATTTCAGTGTCATCCTTAACTCTTCACCTCACTCTCAGCCCTACTCCATATCTAATCTGTTTCCAAGACTTATCAATTCTACATTCACAACATTTCTCATAAATGCTGAGTTCAAATAAAAGAATAATAAATGACATTCTACTGGAATGTAGATTCCACTGTACAATTCCACTGTACAGATAAGTAAATAAAAAAGGAATTTTAAAGGAAGTGGGAAGAGCACAAATACCTAGAGGAATAAGGCAAGAACTCCCACAGGAAGCTTGAGCTGAGCTAGGGGGTCCTTGGTGATTAGCAAGCCTGGTTTCCTTGTTATATGTACATCTCCAGCCCCTAACATAGATGGCGGGCACTTAACAAAAATGCTTGCTGAAGTGATCTGAATCCAGGAAACCACTCCCAAGAACCTCAGCTTTCAGTAAAGATCCTGGCCCCTCTCTGACCTATACATACAGTTCTCTGGAGTATAAAGGAGTAAACCCTTAAAAAAAAATTTTAAGTGCCATGTGTTACTTCCAGGGAGCAAGGCAAGGATGGGGGAAAAAAAGAAAAACAGTTGAGGTTTCATCCAGCTAAGCCCTAAGGCTGAATGGTGGATGATGTAATGGTGCCAGCAGTCACCTTATTAATAGGCAAAAACACTAAACTGAGTCAAAACATCCGGATCCTATTCTTTAGAATAAATGTCAACACCAGTAAGGCACCACCTGTGAGCATCATTTTTCCTTATCTGTAAATCAAAAACACCACCTAATCCATCTGCCTCCCCAGGTGCCTGCCTCCACTGACAATGCATCTGAAACTTAACTACAAGGTACTGTAGTTCAGGTATTAGAACAAAAGAAGTTTAACAGGAAATAAGGTCATAAAGGGCTGTGTAATGAGTATGAGGCAGAAGCTAGTAAGGCAATGAGAATCAAGCTGGTCCCATTTCGGGCACTGTCTTAGAGCTCCCTGTAAACTGACCGTTATTAATCCATTTTTAGCTGAAGACACAGCAACTAGATTGCCTACTGTGTTAGCAGGGTATAATGGAGAGAGCCCTGGATTTGGAGTCAGAGGATCCATGTTCAAATGGCAATTCTGCTTCTTACTGTAGATGTGATCTTAAACCACTTAAGCTCTCTGGGCCTGCTTCCTCATCTATAAAATAAGAGGCCTAGACTAGATGCCTTCTGATGTCCCTTCTAGCTCTAAATTTGTGATTCTTGTGATCCACAATAAAGACATTCAGTCACCAACATTCCCACCACAATAGCAAGGAAGACTTTCTTAAAATGTCTGTCTTTCCACAACATTAATACTAGCTTCCAATTATAAAGCTAAAGGACTTTCTATACATTATCTCAGATAATTACATTGAGGCATTCTGTGATTATTTATATTGAAGTGAGGTTGGAACCACCATCCCTTAACATTTTCCCTCCAGGTATTGGCTACGCTTAATCAATCAGTTGGAATGGTTTTGGTCACATCTATAACCCCAAATCTGCATAGCTTTCTCTCTCATAAAAATAGATGTGGCACAATTCTCAACCAGTTGGGAAATTAACATTCTTTCCTACTTATAAACACAGTGTTTACCCTATACTATGAGATCATGAATACATTTGAATATTTGAGCACATCTGGCCTGATTAGCTCCCCTTCTCAGCAAACTTAAGTGTTTCTGTTTCCTCCAGGATAAAACACAGCATATCACCTTAAACACACATTTTACAAAATTCTCCAAGTTGCCACTTGTTTGGTGCTTGCAAAAGGCCCTTTACAACTCACAGATAAGGAAAAAAAAGAAAAATCAAGCCTCCCTTCTCAGCAGGAAAACCTGGTCCCTAGGTAGAGGACACACGGCATAGAGGGCAGTGCGCTGGTTTTGGAGACAGCACTCAAATTCCACCTCTGACACTTCATATCTATGGGACCATAAACTAGTCACTTAACCTCTCTGTAAGCCAATTTCCTGATCTGAAAAATGAGGGATGTGAGACTCAATGACTTCTAATATCCCTTCTAGCTCTAAATCTATGATCATGTCATGCTCATGACAATATATAGGTGATATGAGTGCTACTACTGTCTCCAGTTCCAACCAATAAACTCTAGAAGCTCCCTATTGCCTTTAAGATCAAATATAAACTCTTTTTCGCCACTTCTTCACTGGCTCTTCACAATGTGGCTCCATTCT